CCAGCATGAGCACAGCGGGGTCGGGGTGGGTGCTTGCAGCTTTTTTGCTGAGGTGGTGAGGGGAGGGGGTGACACCATCCCCCCCCCACCTCTGACAGGGTGCGAACGTGTGAGCTCATCAGTGATGCAGCGCTAACGAGGGACGGAGAGGTGCAAAACAGGGTGGGGGGAAGGAGGAGTGTGGGGTAGGTGTGTGCACAGCCATCTCCCCCCTACCCGAATTGGGGTATGTGGCTGTCTAGGACCCCCATCCCGGGGCTGGGTGCCCACAGCGGGTGTGTGATGCTGCCCCTGCTCCTCTGCAGATGGTTGAGAGCTTTGCACCATCCCTGCTGCCACCAGCCAGTCCTCCCAGTTAAACAGCCGCCATCCACACCCCGGTACCCCGTTTTGCACCTCGGAGGGAGGGGGTTTGGGCTGCTCTGCCCACCACCATCCACCTCATTTCCCCTTTCTCCCCTTCCCCGTGGGCTCTGGCCCGGTGAGCCCGGTGGGGTTGGCACGGTGCGGGACTCTTCGCCGCTTGTGCCGGAGCCAAAAATAGCCGGTTGATGCCGGGCTCCCGCGGCGGGGAAGCGGTGATGTCACTTGCCGCCAATCACCGGCAGCCCCGAAGAGCAGTGCGGAGGAGTGGGAACGTGCTTCCCCGAGCATCCTTTCCTTTCCCCAGCATCCCTCCCCGAGCATCCTTTCCTTTCCCCAGCATCCCTCCCCGAGCATCCTTCTTCCCCCAGCATCCCTCCCCGAGCATCCTTCTTCCCCCAGCATCCCTCCCCGAGCATCCTTCTTCCCCCAGCATCCTTCCCCCAACATCCCTTCCCTAGCATCCCTCCCTGAGCATCCATCCCCCCCTGGAGTAGATGGGGCCCCTTTCCTCGTTGGGAAGGGAGATGAACCCTGTGCCAGCAGTTTTGGGGACCACCCTCCCTCTTCTTGGCTCCCCCCCCTTCCCCTGCTCCAGCCCTGGGTTTTCCCTCTCCGTGCTGAGGATGCAGCTTTGCTGCTGCTGGCGGGAGGAGGATGACGCCAGGCTGCAGCTGAGCAGGGGAGGCACAGCCGGGGTGGAGCAGCAGCTTCGTTAGAGGCTGAGACCAAAGCCCTGTTTAATTACCCCAGCCCTGGGGCGGGAGGAGGAGGAGCAGGGTGCCAGACTCGATGCGCCGGGGTTTCAGGCCTGGGGCTCTCGACTTGGGGGGACATCTGAGGACAGGCAGGTTTGGCTGGAGCATCTCCTCTCCCAGGGCTCAGCCTTTTTCCCTGTGGGAAAGCCGGGTGCCTGGGCTGGCACGCCAGAGTCGTGGCTTGGTGGCCCATGGTGGCTCCCGTGGATGTGGGGACACAAGCACAGTGGCAAAAGCAGCCTTTTGTCCCCTGCAGGGCCACGGAGCAGCCCTGACGGTGCTGCTAGGTGGGGACCAGCACAAGGTGTGCTGAGAGCAGGGGGTCCCCAAAACCCCTGTGGGGCACTGGCACCACCCTTGGCATGGCGTGGAAGGTGGGAAGCCATCCTGGAGCAGCAGGTGATGGTGGCCACTGTCCTGAGTCTTGGGGTGACCCTGGAGCTGGGTGGAAGGGTTTGGGGAACACCTCCTTGGTTTCAGGCTGGGGGAGATCCATCCCTGGGGTGATGCCCACCCTTGGCTTGGGATGGGAAGGGTCTTGGCTGCAGCTTACCCAGGGGTCACAGACTGATTTTGGGGTCTGGTGATGGGGTCGGCCACAGTTTCTCCCTTTTTTCCCCCTGGCAGGTGCCCTCGGCTCGAGGGAGGAGCCCGAGTTTGTGACCGCTCGCGCTGGCGAGAGCGTGATCCTGGGATGCGACGTGATCCACCCGCTGACAGGGCAGCCCCCTCCCTATGTCGTGGAGTGGTTCAAGTTCGGCGTCCCCATCCCCATCTTCATCAAGTTTGGGTTTTACCCTCCCCATGTCGACCCGGAGTATGCCGGTGAGTCCCGGGAGGGGATACGAAAAGGGGTGGGGGGGGACACGCCAGGAAAATACGGCTCCGCTCCATCCGTTCCCCCATCAGGAACTCTGCCTCTCGTTGCTCGCTTTCCACCCAGTTGGTTTTAATTAAGCAGCAGCACTCGGAAGCCAGCTGGGCTGCGTGGGACGGGAGCAAGTGAGGCAGAGAAACCCAGGGTGATGCGTGGTGGCTGCTGCTGCTGCTGTGCCCCAGAGCAGCTGTGAACCTGGGGCGGGGGGAAGCTTTCAGGGGTGCTGGGGGGACAGTGGGGATGGATCCGAGGACACATGCCAGGTTGGAGCTGCAGAGCCCACGTGGCCACTTGCCAACATGCCACATGCCCCACGGTGGTGGTGGCTGGTGGGGTGGCTGGGCAGGAGACAAGCCCCCAAGGGGGTCAGTGGGGTTGGGGGGCAGACCCATTTCAGCATCCCATTCCCTGGGGAGCTTCCCTGGGTCTTCCAAAGCTCCCTGGGGCTTCCTCCACCTAAGTAGCTCCCCTGGGAGATGCGGTGGCGGGGAGGATGCCAGCACCTGGGCTGAGCCCTGCCAAACTCAGCTCACGAATGAGCCACGCCAGAGCCTGTTGGAGGCTGGAGGGTGGGCTGCTTTCCTACCGGGGCTGTGCAAAGGGGTCAGCCTGGGGCTGCCCTGACTTTTTGGGAGACTCCCAGGGTGGGGAGAAGCTTTGGGGAGTGCCTGGTTGCCGGCTGTCCCGCCGCCAGGAACATGAAGGCTGTGGACAGACGCTGCCCGAGGCATCGTGTGGCTTATTCTGCCCTTCCCAGACGGGTGAGCGTGTCACCGGCTGGCTCCGACCAGGCCTAAGGCTCAACCAGCCCCAAACTGGCAATGGTGGGGTGCTCTGTGCCCGTGTCCAGCTGGGGCATCCCCTGCAGCGATGCTCTAGGGAGAGGGGGGGCTGGTCCGGTGCTGCGGGGGGCTATCGTGTGGGGCTGGTGGCCACCAAAGCTGAGGGCTGTGCTCTCCCCCCCCCTGGCAGGCCGGGCCAGCCTGCACGACAAGGCCTCGCTGCGCATTGAGCAGGTCCGCTCCGAGGACCAGGGCTGGTACGAGTGCAAAGTCCTCATGCTGGACCAGCAGTACGACACCTTCCACAACGGCAGCTGGGTCCACCTCACGGTCAACGGTGAGCTTTTGGTGGGAGGGGAGGGGGGCTACGGCATGATCAGGGGTCTGTGGCATCATCAGAGGGCTTGCAGCATCACTTGGGGGGGCTGCAGCATCACTTGGGGGGGCTGCAGCATCACTTGGGGGGGCTGCAGCATCATCAGAGGGCTTGCAGCATCTCTTGGGGGGTCTGCAGCATCTCTTGGAGGGGCTGCAGCATCCCCAGGGGGTTGCGTGCGATGCCGCTTGCCCATTCGGGGTTCCCCTTTGATCTCTGATGGACGCTGGACCTTGATGGCATCTGAACCTGGCAGACAAGCAGGCCTGAGGGCATGCAGGGTGTGACTTAAAAAAAACAAAAAAACAAACAAACAAAAAGGGACAAACTTTTATTAGGGATGTGGCGGTTTAATTACGCAGAGCTCGTTTGAAGGAGAGACATCAAGAAACCAGGGGCTGGGAAGGAGCCTCCTCTTTAACAAACAGATCAGAAAATCAAATCTTTGCTTTCTTGAAATTCGGATTTGCTCAAATGGCTTTTTTTCGTTTTATTAAGGCGGCGTATTAAGCTAATTAGCAAATTGTCGGTCTCCACGCATCGGGGAAAGGTCTTTATTTTTAGCCCAGCAGCGGGGCCGCGCGTCTCCGGCTGCGGTGGGGTGGCTGCAGAGGGGCCGTGGGCTCCAGCAGCTCCTCGCTGGTCCTGCCTGACCTTGAGCAATTAATTTAACCTTTCGTGGGGCTGCGGCAGGGAGCAGAGCCACCTAATTGAGCCCAATTAGCGAGCAGGAGCTTTGCAAGCGGGGGATGCGCAGTGCGCCGACCCCATCCCTGCCTTTTTGCTGCCTCCTTTCCCCCCCTGCCTGCAAAAAGGGGGGATGCCACCACGTTTCCCAGCTTGGGGCTCCCTGCCTTTTTGCCGCCTCTTTTCCCCCCTGCCTGCAAAAAAGGGGGATGCCACCACGTTTCCCAGCTTGGGGGGGCTTGGGAAGGAGGGAGAGAGGAGGAGGATGGTGTCTGCTTCATCTCCACCTCATCTAGGAATGGCACAAACTGCCAGCCTGAGGGGCTGGAAGTGCCGTCATCACCCTGGGTGCCCTGTCCCCCACCCCAGGCTCGACCCCCCCCTTTGCAAAAAATGGGGTGTTTCGGGGGTTTCGTGCAGTTGCAGGGCACGCGAGGGCTTAATAGTGAAATAATAATTGTAATTCTCCAGGCCCAAGGAATTGCTTTTGGGCGGAAGGCTGTGGCGCGTTGCAGCGCTTCATTTTCTTAGGGGAAAATAAAAATCATTTGGGGAGAAACAAGATAATTCTTTATTTTTTGGATTTTTTTTTTTTTGAGCCACCCCAGGCAGATTAAATTGCCAACCTGTCTTCCTCGAAAGTGGGCTCTAACAAGCGCTGGTAATTAGGGGCGGGCTGTAAATCCAGCCTCTTTAATCAGGAAAGGAGCCTTTCGATCTGCACTGCGGTGTTTTCCTGTGTTTTGACAATAGTGAGTTAATGTGTGTGGGGACACACACACACACACACATGATGTGGTGCCCTGGAGCTGGTGGGGAGGAGAGGGGGACAGAACTGGGGTGCGATGTGACCTAGAGGGGATGCGGGTGTCCCTGGGGACAACCACAGTTGTCCCCCTTCACCTTTGGGGTGATCCATGGGGATGCGTGGTGCGTCCCCCTCTTTCCCCATGGCCAGGGGTGAAGCAGGGGGGGGTCATGGTGGTCTTTATCCCCCCACCCCACAGCTCCCCCCACGTTCACTGAGACGCCGCCGCAGTACGTAGAGGCGAAGGAAGGCAGCAGCGTCACCTTGACCTGCATGGCGTTTGGGAACCCCAAGCCCATCGTCACCTGGCTGAAAGAGGGAAACCTTTTGGGTGCCAACGGCAAGTACCAGGTGGGTGGATGGTGATGGGGGGCTGGGTGGGGGGGTTCCAGGCTGGTGGAGATGGTCCGGATGGGACCACGATGGTGGTATCTCTGCCATCCGTGCCTGGAGGCTGGTGGAGATGGTATGGATGGGACCACCATGGTGGTATCTCTGCCATCCGTGCCTGGAGGCTGGTGGAGATGGTATGGATGGGACCACCATGGTGGTATCTCTGCCATCCATGCCTGGAGCCAGGCATGCTTTCTCAGCACTTCTTGCCAAGATGCCCATTTTCCCTGTCCCCCCCCACAGCCCCCTCCGTCTCTGACACTGCCCACCCTTGGGTGCTGGCTAGAAACTCCCCCCCAGGGCCTTTAGGGCAGCCCCATTCCTGCCCCACAGCCCTGGGGGTGGGCTGGGGGCTACAAACTGGGGGACACGTTGTCCCCAGGCAGGGATGGATGCAACAGGGCTGGCGCGAGGGGGGATTTTGGGCAGGGAGGGAGGGTTTTACCCCCCCCACCACCTCCCAGGATCCTTTTTTGCATCCCAGAGGCTCCGGAGAAGAGATTCCCCCCTGAGCTGTAATTGGTAAATCAGGCATTGGAATCAGCGCAGGCACTAATGAGAGTAATTAGGAATCATTTGTTACTAATTGAAATA